TAACATCAACTAGGTCTTAAAGACCGTAATAAATAAATACTATACTACTATACTATAATAAGATGGAAAATACTAGTTTTCTAAGAAAATTGCATCGAAATTTAACAAATTAATCAGCTGTTCATAAAACTAGCAACTTCTTGCTGGTTTTGCGTTTTCGTACTTTCTTGCATATTTCACTCATTGGGAGTAAATATTGGCTTACTCTCCGAAATTTGGTTACTGGCAAGTTACTGGATATTTTTTGCTGGAGAATACAAAAACACAACTCGTGTCTGCGTCAACCTACGTCTACGCTACGTCGTTGACTGTTTGAGCTTTAAGTAAAGGCTCTCTAAGGCTGAGTTTTGTCATCAAAAGTAAGGATGTTATAGTCTAAGGGCCAATTTCAAATGAATATTTAAACGGCACTTATGTTTAATTTTGGATTGTTGTTTAAATGCCATTTAGCTTTCGTTGGGTTTCAGATCAACTTTGGTTAAATATGCCAATTAATTGGCAGCACTGCTGCTTATTCCTTGAAAGTGTTGTTGCATTTGCATGATTGTTTACATTTTCTGCTGAACTGGCGATTGTTTTAGGTGGGATTTGGTGGGATTTACTAAACAACCTACCAACCAATCTTGGTTCTTTGGTATAAACACAGGGTTGCATATCTCATATTTTAATAGCAGAATCGGCCATTTAAGTGTAGACTAAGGGCCGGGTACTCAATGTCTGGTTAACACTAATCTCCGGTTAAACATCGTTATCGACGTTAACGACTCCCTGTTGTATGCATGGAGTCGAAGACGTCGATAACGATGTTTAACCGCAGATTAGTGTTAACCAGATATTGAGTAACCGGCCCTTAATGTATGATCTGAAAAGGAATAGTGGAAATTAATCAACAGTCTATACTTAAGTAGGCCATCTGAAATCGGGCCTAACAGTTGCTAAATTTGAAAACTATTAAACTTTCTTTCAGGCTTTGAACACATACTCCTATAATAGTTATCTGCCCTTTCGCTAGTTTTTTGAATACATGTAAAAAACGAGTTTGGCATCATGTTATCCAAAATGTGCGTGTTGATCTTGTCACGCAAATGAAGGGACCTAAAGTTCTAGGTCGCCTCCGAACGGCAAATGGTTTTTGTGAAAAGCGATTTCATGGCAGAAGTACACTTGGGGGTTTGAAAATGCGGCGACCGCAGATCGGGAATTGCGTAGAGCAACATTTGCTGGAACTTTATGTGGGATCTGGCTGACAGTCTTCCTAAAATAAATTTGAAAAATTTATTATTCTTTTGACTATGAATTTTTGATGAAAAAGATCCTAGTAGTAAACTTTAATAAAAATATTTAGCAAAACGAAGAAAAGTTTAACATTTTAATAGGCAGGAAAAACTTAAGCAATTTTGCTTAGAATTAAGCAAAACGGCAACGCTGACTTGATAACAAATTAAGTTCAATATGTACAGACGGCGCGAAGGTTATGCGTGGAACTAAAAAGGGTATTGTAGGCACAAAACAAAAAAAAAAATGTCCCAACATTCCATTGCATTATTCACCAACAGGCACTTTTTGCGAAAGGCTTGTGTCTGCTTAATGCTATGGATATCGCAGTAAAAATTATTAGTAAAATAAAGGGTGGTCATAATGCTCTCAACCACAGGAAGTTGAAATCTCTTCTTGACGAGCTTGACGCTGACTACGGGGATTTACTTTTATATACTAAGGTACGTTGGCTTATCAAAGAAAAATGCCTACAAAGATCATTTAATTTAAGGATTGAAGTAATACTTTTTTGTTTAACAGAATATGAGTCCAGATGTCAAAAAGTTTATTTTAGCACTTAAAGACAAACATTTTATTTTTGATTTAGCTTTTTTGTGCGATATTAAATACTTAATTAACGAATTAAACTTACTGCTTCAGGGTAAAAATAAAAAAAAATTGATTTAGTACGAACTACAGTATATTTTGCTTAGCTGCACATCCTTCTTTGCACGAAAAACTTGTGCACATAACCGAAAAAGGCACTTAAGCCAATTTTCTTTACTACTTCAATGAGGAAGGTATCCGAATCCCTATGAAACCAAATATTGGCGGAGCACTACTGCGGAGAAATTACTGCAAGGGAAATTTTTACCGAATGTTATCTAATTACCTATACTAGAGTGCCAGTTACTGTCGAAATTCGACAGTTTTTCTGGTTTTTGGGAGCCTTGGAGAGGTATTCTAACTTAACCCGTAGCAAAACTTATACGGTAGAAATTAACTTACCGGAAAATCTTCTGCTTTGGAAATTAAACGTAACTAATATTTTTTTTATATTAGAACGTCTTTGGAGGACTTCGGCAGGACTTGGAATTGACCCGATACATTCCAGTTTATCGATAAATTTCAATGATTTGATACATATCGATAGCTCGAAGAATTTCGAAAACACTAAAATCCGATAACTCAACAAAATTCGTTAACTCGACCAATTTCGATAACTGTGAAATTCGAGGGCTCGATAAATTTCGATAACTCAAAAATGTAAATTCTTTGGATACCTTTGGATAAATTTTTATTTTTGACAGCTCCAAATTTTTCGAAAGCTATCGAAAAATTTTGATAACTCGTTACACTCTGTTAACACGACAAAATTCGATAAGCAGTGATAAATCGATTAGCTTATATAACCTTGAAATTTCGATAAATCGATATATTTTGAAAATTCCACAAACTCGATTCGATGAATCAACCAATTTAAGTAGATCCATAATTATCGATAACTCTGTAAGTTGAAAGATCTCCATGCATTACGACACCTCGATAAATTTCGTTAAGTCTATAAATAATGATAATTCTATAAATATCGATAGCTTGATACATTTCTTTAACTTGACAAATTTCGTTAATCTCACACGTGTTTGTAGCTCGATAACTATCCGTAAATTTGGACAACTAAGTTTCTGCGTCTATAAACTTCGACAACTCAATAAACATTGATCAGTTTAAATAATTCGATACGTTGCGATAACTTAATAAGCATGAATAAATTTCGATAACAATAAACTTCGATGATTCGATAATTTTCAGTAACCTTTATGGCTGATTTTATTTCGATTCCTATCGGAAAATTTCAACTCTGTTACCCTAATTCTTATGTATCTTTCACTGTCTCCATTTTCGCCTTTATCTCCATTTTCGTCTTTATCTTCACTTTTGCCTTTTTTTTTTGTCTTCATCGTTATCACTGGTTTCTTCATCTTCATATTTATCTTTATTGCAAAGTTTAATTTCAAATACGAAGTAAAACAAAATGCGAAACAGCTTAAATTGAACAGGTTGCAAAAACAACCATACACAAATATGGAATTTTTTAAACG